AATAAATAAATAAAAAATCTTAAAAAAAAACTTCAAAATATATGAAATATTAGGGTCCTAGAGAGATTGGGAAGCCTCCATTTTCACTCTCGGCCTCCAAAGCTCTACGGAAAGCTTCCAGGGAACAAAAGTTCCCGAGAGCAAACCCGAGCAGATTACTTAGCCGGGAGGGGGCAAGGGCGGGGCAATTCCGCCTCCGGCAAAGACCTTTGGGAACCACGACAACAGGCCCCTTCCCCAGAAGATCAGCGAGAACAGCCAGCCAAGGCCACATTTACTGATCAATGAGAACGGCAGAACTCCAGAGCTGGGAGAATACTGCACATAGAATCCATGGCTTTTTTACCATGATTCTTTAGTCTTTCAAAGTTAAATTTTTTTTACTGCCTTTTTTTTTTTAATTTTTCTTTTTCCCCTTTTCAACCAACATCTTATCAATCCCTTTTTTAAAAACCATTTTTATTTTTCATTTTTAGAGTCATATTCTATCCCTTCATAGTAGTTACCCTTATTTTTGGCATATATATATAACTTGTTCTCTCTTTAAAATTTTGAGATAGTTTCTTCTAACAGATCAAAATATACCCTAAATCTCTAGTGTATGGTTTTCTTCTACTCTCCTGCCTGATCACATTTTCCCCTTCTTTTTTTCCTTTTTTTTTTTAAACCTCTTTCTTTTTTCAAACAACTTATCAATTCCTTTTATAAAATTTTTTGTAATTTTTATCTTTACAGTCATATTCCATCCCTTCATCGTATCAACCCTTATTTTTGTACATATGTAAGTTTTTTTCTTTAAAAGTTTGGGAGGCACTTTCTTCTAAGACCAAAATACACCCAAAATCTAGTGTGTGGCACTGATCTATGCACCAGCCTGATCATATTTCATCATATTCTGTTTTTTTTTGTTTTGTTCTGTTTTTTTTTTTAATCTTTTTCTTTTTCTTTCTTTCCCTTTCTTTTCCCCCGGCTTCAGGTCTTTTCTGATTTGTTTAGAGTATATTTTCTGGGAACGTCATTACCCTGTTAGCATTTTGTTCTCTCATTCATCTATTCTCCTCTGGACAAAATGACAAGACGGAAAAAAATCACCTCAACAGGGACACCTGGGTGGCTCAGTCAGTTAAACATCTGCCTTTGGCTCAGGTCACGATCCCAGGGTCCTGAGATCGAGTCCCACATCGGGCTCCCTGCTCAGCGGGGAGCCTGCTTCTCCCTCTGCCTGCTGTTCCCCCTGCTTCTGCTCTCTCTCTGATATATAAATAAATAAAATCTTTAAAAAAAAAAAAAATCACCTCAACAAAAAGAACAAGAGGCAGTACCGACTGCCAGGACCTACTCAATACAGACATT